GCCCCTGTCCCAAGTCCCTCCCCAGCTTTCCTGGAGCCCCTTCAGGCACTGGAAGCTGCTCTAAGGTCTCCCTGGAGCCTTCCCTTCCCCAGGCTGAACACACCCACTCTCCCAGCCTGTCTCATTTCCTATGCAGAAAGCCTTTCTGGCAGAAATAAGGAGGCAAGATCATGCCAGGATTTATTTTCAACATCAAAGCCTTGCACAGGAGTTGTCCAGAATCTCACAGTGCCCAGGATTCCTGGGACAAGGCAATAAAAGCATCCTTTAGACCTGGGAGGGCATAAATGTTCCTGTCAGCCCTTCCCTGTGTGTCAGCCAGAGGGTTTATCCAACTGAGAACATGTTCCCACATAAAAAGAGAAAGGGAATTAGTGTAACCAGAAAGGCAGGTGGTTTGTTTTTTTAGGGAAACATCTAAGAATGTCTTCAGTGGAGGACTGAGTTAAAAAAGTAAAAAGGGGAGTCTGCTGTGCCAGAGGAAGAGTAAGTGGACCTAGAGGTGGCTCCTTCTCTCTGCAATCTCTCCTCTCCCTTTCTTTGGTGTTATTCATTTTTAATTTGCATTGTTATAGCCTCTGGAAGCACCAGGTGGAAATCAGGGCCTCATTGTGCACCAACATAATGATTAAATCTTGCCAGCTCTGCAGAGGTTGAAACATAACTCCTCATCTCTGCAGCATCACCAACCAGCAGAGTTATTGCCCAATAAGTTATTCTGTGATTGCTCTTTCTGGAATTATCTGTGGCATTTGATTTATTTCTGGGCAACCACACCTGAGGGGGTGAAAAGATACCTTTGTATTATCTGGCTGAAAGGACAGAAGGCAGTGTTGGATTTGCTGAAGGTTCTTTTTCTATTAGTATTTTTCTGTTAGATAAATCATAGAATTCCAGGCTGGGAATTCCAGGCTGGGAGGGACCTCAAGGATCATCTTGTCCAACCTTTCTACGTATTAATATAGTTTAAATGAGATGGCCAAGCACCCTGTGAAGCTGAGTCTTAAAACTGTCCAATGCAGGGGAACCCACCACTTCCCCAATGTCTGACAATTCTCATGGGGACAAATTTTTCTTCTGGAGTCCAATTGGAATCTCCCCAGGATTAATTTGTACCCATTAGCCCTTGTTTTTTCCATACGACTCCTTGGAGAAAGGAAGTTTCCATTTTACATTTAATCATATAAAAACCAAACCACAACTAAACAAGTCATTTATTAAAACCACCACCCAACCCTCTGTTGCCACAGCATAAATAGGAAGCAACTCATCCAGCAGTCACTGAAAGGGTCTTCACACAATGATCAAGTCCCTTTGGGCTTCTCTTGACCTTCTCAGAGGTCAGAGAGCAGCAGGACACACTGGTCACATTTTTACAGCTTCAAATACAGTCACTCTGGATAAAGGAAGGACCAAAACAATTGCCAGGGGTTTTCCCAGACTTTTTTTTTATGGCAGAGAGAACTAGTGTGTGTTAAAATCAGACACTTAACTACCCTCCAGACAACTGTTGCTCTGCACAGCACCCACCTGAAAGCTGAGGGTTCTGGAGACCCTGGCTTAGAGAAGGAGCTTGTTTTGGTGAAAGAATTCAAATTACAATAGCTGGTTCTGCTGGTTGCAGCAAGGGTTGGTGGAGGAAAAGCAATTAGGATTCCCTAAGATTGTGCATTTTAAAAAAACCCAAACAAGCAAGGAGACGAAAATAAACCCTCCCATGATTTCTAAAGGAGTCTTGGGAATATTAAGGAGCCCAGCTCTCAGTTTTTAAATAGTAACCACAGGGGATCACTTACAAGTAGCAATTTTCCTAATTTCCTATTCTGTCTTTTAATACTTCCTAGGAAAAGCAGAGTCTTTGCATTACAAGCAGCTTGAAAAGCCAAGCAGGCAGAAACAAGCCCCTGTGGCCTCACGCTGGTTATTTTCACTTCTGGTTGGAGATTTTCCCGGGTGTGAAGGGTTCCCCGAGCACCCTCACTTCACAGGGGTGAAGCTCTACCCTGAATTTCCCCCTGGTCTGTGTGACATGGTCTTCCAGTCCCCTCTGCTGGTTGCAGCTTGCTGCAGAGCTGCACCTCTGCTGTGCTCAGCCTTGCTGGGCGCTGCCAGGGAGGGGACAGGGATGTCACCAGCCCCATGCTCAGCACCTGCCAAGGTGGCACGAACTCCTCCAGGGAGCCCAGGTTTTCCTTGCCCCTCACCTCTGCATTTCCAATTCAAGCGCCTGGCACCTCTTTTACACCTCAAGAGAAAGGGTAAGAAATTTGGCCAAAGGCATCCTGAGAGCAAATCATCTCCCCACGGGGAATTTATGACCTTTTATCCTCACAGGGAACTTAGCAGAACAACAGGGACAAGTTTTTTTGGCAGGGCCTGTAGTGCTCAGACAAGGGGTGATGGTTTTCAACCGAAAGAGGTGAGATTTAGGTTAGATTTTAGGAAGAAATTTTTTACAATGAAGGTGGTGAGGCACTGGCACAGGTTGCCCAGAAAGGTGGTAGAAACCCCATCCCTGGAAACATTCTAGATGAGGTTGGACAGGGCCCTGAGCAACCTGGTCTAGCTGAAGATGTCCCTGCTCACTGTAAGGGGGTTGGACTAGATGGTCCCTTCCAACCCAAACCATTCTGTGATTCTATGAAATGTTTGTTGAGCTTATGACAAAACATCACCTGCAACTGTTTGTGGCCTGTGCTTCTGTGTCTCTCCAAGCCCAGCACAGCGTGTCCATCCTGAGGGCTGCTGGCCCATGCCCCTCACCCCAGGCCAAGCAATCCCTACAGCTTCTTTGCTGACTTTCCCACAGCAGCTGTGATCCAGTTGGGCAAAATTTCCTCTGGGGGGTTTGCAAAACCACAGAGAGACCTTGTGCAGAAAGGCTGTGCTGGTGCCTCCTGGAGAACTGGGCAGAGCCAGCAGCAGGGAGAGAAGTGGGACTGGGGCCCAGCTCAGGATGCCCAACTGGTGAAAATCTTCTAGCAGAGAGGGGAAGTTTTGATCCTGGGTGCAAAGAGCTGGTCTGTCAGGCCCAGTGCCAAGCAGATCAGCTCTGCCCCGGGTGGGCAGCAGGAAGCAGAGCTGGCACAGCTCCCCAGGGCAGCGTGCCAGGGGGAAACCCAAGTGACAACCCTGATAACAGGACCCTGTGGCCAGGGGCCCTGCAGGGGAAGGCAGAGCCCTGCTCAGAGCCCAGGCTCCCTGCTCCAGCCTGATTTCTAGGGTTGCTTTTGCATGCACAGCCCACCCATGTCACAAAGCACAGCAGGCCCAGCACGGGCACCACAAGGGGATGTTGTAGAAAAACTAAAGGTTTATTTTATTTTATTTTTTTAACAAAATACATCCTTACAAAATAACCTCTTTTGCTCCTACGCTGAGGGGCTGGGCATGGTCCTTGCCAGCTCTCCTTCCCTCCTCCTCTCCTCAGTTTGGAGCTGGACCAGAGTGCTGCTGGGGAAGGAGATGCAGTGATGCTCTCCCAGGGTGTGGGATGCCCTGGCACGGCCCCAGCCCAGCAGGAGCCCTTTGGAAGTGCCTGCAAAGTGTGGCAAGACCCCAGTGCCCAGGGCAGGGCTGGTGGAGGGCCCTGAAGATCTCATGGTTTCACCCCCCAGCAGCACCACAGCATGTCCCACCAGCAGCAGGGCAGCCAGACCCCTGGCACCACGTTCCCATGAGCTGGTGTTGGACTTTGCTCCTGCTGGCCTTGGGGTTGGTGCAGGCTGGTGATGGGATGACAACCATGCTTTAGGAGAGGAGGAGGAGGAAGAGGGTGCAGGTCTGTCGGTCAGTCTGGCTCCTGCCAAGAGAGTGAGGTGCACAGTGATGGCTGGTGCTTTGTCCCCAGCCTCCCCTCTGCAGGCAAGATGGGATGTTGATCCCACATCCTGCACCCAGCTCAGCATTGCCTGCCCTGAGAAACACACAGCCAAGGCTAGACACCACAACCCACATCTCCTCTGTGCCTCCCTGGAGTCCTGCTGCCTCCTGGGGGCCTTGGGATGGCCCAGAGACCCCCCACCCTCAGCCCTGCCAGCACCACTCACCTCTCACTGCTTGTTGTCCAGCTCCTTTTCCTTCTTATGAGACTTCGACTGGGGGTTAAATGAGAGAAATCAATTATTCTTTTACAGTCCTCCCCCTTTCTAATGCCAAGTTAAAATGTGGTTGGACACTTTCTAACTCCTAATGTGTAAGAATATTTTCAGATTAATGAGGAAAGCTGTTTTTGCATCCTAGAAAAGGCCATAGATCTCCCACAGTCACAGAGATGTTGTCAGAAAGCAGAAAAGGTGACAGTTTCCAGCTTGCTGAGACACTGCTCTGCCCCTGCCTCCCTGAAAGCAATGCAAGTGTTACCAGATATTGGAATATCTGGGGATAAAGGGAGGGCATAAAGTTATGAACAGTGAGTGGCACAGAAAACCTCTGTAATTTTGGAGAGGAGATTCATGGATCCCAATCTCCAACAGTCCCACTAGGTCAGGAAGGTGCCTGGTTGCTCCTCAATATAAACGTTGTTTGTGTTCCAGCATCATCCCTCACACACACAGATCCACACTCACACCCACCAGAGCCTCCACAGAGGTGGCACTCCCTGGTACTTACAGGCTCCTGTTCTGCATATTTGAATTTCTTCTGCTTGTAATAGTCCCGTCCTTGGAGAAAATGCAGCAGGAGCAGGTCACAGAGGACAGAGGCCTTAAAGCAAAGGGCAGTTAGGGCTGGGGCTGCACAGCTCACCTCTGTCACCTTCTTCTTCCAGCTTCTTTCACATGTCCTACAAATTAGGGTCACTTCTGCTTCAACTCACAATGTTGGTTGAGCACAAAGCCCCTGAACGTCCATTTAGGACAAAGTGAAGTGTGCAGGGTTGAAAACTGGGCAATTTAAGTTAACAGAAATTGTTTCCACTTTGGGGACGTGCAAACACCCTTTGGGTCATGCCAAGCCTTTCATGACCTTACCCAAATAGGATGCTGGGTTTCTGTTGTGCATTAAATACTGCCCATCACCTCCAGACCCCCTCAATACCAGCTCTAGCCCCAGACTGTCAAGATACCAAGACACAGCCCTGCTACCCCAGCCTGCCTTCCCCCCCTCAGCAGGGCAGGGGCTCCCACTGGCAGAGCTCACACCAGCCTGTGGGAATCTTTTCCTGAGCTATGGAAGCAGGAAAGCATCTCCCTTCCCCATTCTGTCCATCCCCTGTTGCCTGAGCAGGCACCAGTGTTTCCCTGCAGCTCAGGGAGACACTTCCCCACGGATGTCACAGGCAGGGAGAAGAATTTGAAAGCCTCCATATAGAGGTTGGAAACATCTGAACTTACCACTCCAAAAATACCAATTCCAGAGCCAATTGTGGTCATGGTCGGGATGATGTCAAATTTGCCTGCCTGAATAAAAAAAAAATCAGAGAAAATAGGTGATAGGTTACAGGCAGCCCAGGGAAGGAAAAAGGGGACTCAGCTCAAGTGCCTCCCAGCAGCCCAAAGCACAACCACAGCACAGGGAGAAACAGGAGCTGGGTGGGAACTGGTTTTAAACTCATTGCTTAAAGAGAAACATATGGTAGGTTAGTTTTAGACTGTAACAAATTGAAATTACTTTGCTTGTTTTATTTATAATGTGTATATATATATACACACACACACATACACACACCATTTAAATATTCCCAGTGGGATTACAACAAGGGAAGACTTCTTTCCCAGTGGAAAGAAAAAGACAAAATAGAAAAATGCAAATGTTCAGCTTTTGGAAATACCAGCAAAAGGCTTTGACTTTCCACAGTCCTCCCCAACCCATCATGATGATTTTGGGGACAAAACCACTGACTGAAGAGCAGCAGATAGAGGGGAAGCCCATTTTACAGGTCACACCTCTGTTCCCTTCTCTGGCACTTCCCAGCACCAAAGGAAACCACTCACACTGGTTTTCCTGGCCCAAGACACCCTGGGGCTGTGTCACAGAGCTGGGACCTTCCTGAGGACATGGCATTGCCATCCTGAGGACCCAGCCCAGCATCTGGCCACCCTTACCTTGCCATTCACCAGGATGTCAAACCGAATCCCAAACACCTTGTAGAGTGTCCTCTTCTCCATCCCAGCTTCCTTGTAGTATTTGGCATATCTGTGTGATTGGATGGTGAGTGTTAATGACCTGCTGGGGTGTCCAACAGCACCTGCAACCCAGTGGCATCGAGATCTTGGGCAGCAGAGCAGGACAAGGATCTGGGGATAAGTTGTCATAGACCTGCTCCTTAATGCCTCTAAAGGAGCTGGGCTGTTGGCACCTTTCCCTTCTGTGCCTCAGTTTCCCTGCATGCAAGTTGGAGCTAAAGCTCCTGCTTGTGTTGATACCTGATGACCCCAAGTGCTACGTGACAGCAGATGACAGTGCAGCACTAGTGGCACCTTCACACAGAGCAGCAGCTCATGCCCAAATGTCACACTGGATGAATGCTTTGAAGTGTGGGGACACATGAGATGACCCTGCACCATCTCCACACTTTCAAGGGGCACACTTTCACTTTTAATGGTTGCACCTGATGATCTTAAAGGATCTTCCTGAGAGCTCAGCTGAGCAGGAGAGTCTGCAGGAGGAGAAGCTGTACCGGGAAAGGCAACAAGGTGACTTTAAAGCCAAGGGATGGGCTACGTGGTGCTGAGAGACATGGTTTAGTGGTGGACTTGGCAGTGCTACTTTAATGGTTGCACCTGATGATCTTAAAGGATTTTCCCAACCAAAATGATTCTATGATCCTATGACCCCATTTCTTGTGCCATTCTGAAGAGAGCTCTGCTGCCTGGCACTGCAATGGAGAACAGTCCCTGATCTTCCACCACCCCTTGAGTGATGTGGCATCCTGCAAGATGGCACCTTTGAATTCTTCCGGGGGAGTTAGCAGGGTCTCCTCACCTGAAGTTGAAGCCTGGTGACACGTTAGTGTCATCATTGTAGAGGCCATGGAACTGGTAGATGGGTTTGCAGTACCGGATGGGCCAGTCCAGGTCGCAGTTCCAGTCGATGGTGATGCCCACCACTCCACCCTGCAGCCGAGAGGACAGGCACGAGGTTACCCCTCCTTGGGCCTGGCCCACAAGGAGAAGTGCTTTCCCTCCTTACATGTGGCCTTTCTCGATGCTATGGGATGTCCTGGCTCCCCAGGACATGCCCCTCAGTCCTCCTCGGCAGCCTCAGCTTTGTGCCCTACACATCACCCTATGGGGCAGCACTTGCTTCTGCCCTAAATGCTGGACACACAAACTCATGCCCTCTTGCTCCTGGTCAGCACCTCAAGCCCAAGGCATGGTTCTGAGAGCCAGTGCTGACTGCAGATCCTCCACAGTCCCATGACATTCACCTTTTCCTGTGGCTTAACCCTGTCAACAAACCATTAGCATCAATGGGGAGGGACTTTGGACAAGGGCTTGTAGTGAGAGGACAGGTGGGAATGGATTAAAACTGGAAGAGGGGAGATTGAGGTTGGACATTAGGAGGAAATTATTTGCTGTGAAGGTGGTGAGACCCTGGCCCAGGTTGCCCAGGGAAGCTGTGGCTGCCCCATCCCTGGCAGTGTTGAAGGGCAGGTTGGATGGGGCTTGGAGCAGCCTGGGCTGCTGGGAGGTGTCCCTGCCCATGCAGGGGGTTGGAACTGGATGATCTTTAAGGTCCCTTCCAACCCAAACCATTCTACATTTCTATGAAAACAAAGGCAATTTACCATAGTCACAGAGGAAAGTGAAATGAACCCATGCAAACCAGAAGCAAAACCCCTCCAAGAGAGGTGACCACCTGCTAGGAAACAAAGCAGTCCCACCTGAGCCCACTCCAGGTTCCAACTTGCTGTCTCCCAGAGGTTTGTCTTTTTGCACCCATGCAAGTCTGGTTTGATGGAGTGCCTGGCAAAAAGAGCTTATGGCTCTGCAGTGCAGAAAGAGCAGATACCACCCTGAGAAGCTGCATTTCTGAGCCTGGGGAAGAGGCTGCAGTTTGCAACAACCAGGATCTGGGTGGGATTTGGCCACGCAGCTCTTGTTATTCACTGTGCAAACCAAAGCAAACTGAACCCTGGATTTACTGCCAGCGGGTCAAACAGTGTCCATCTTACAGGGGAGTTTCCAAGAAAGGCTTAAATATTAGGCCATGTCCAAGGAGATTCATTATCTTTAAGAGCTAATTCTGACACTGCCTCACAAGTGCTTGAGAAAACAGATCCCTCGTGTCTCAGCAGCCTGGGGGTGGTTGTTCTGGCCGTGTCTCCCTCCCCATGGCAGGAAGAAACATCGTTTGAGATGGAAGTACCTTCACAGCCAGGAAGGTAAAATTCTGCCCTGATTCCTTCACTATGTACCCCAGCTCAAACACGGGGCACAGGGGATCAGTGACTCTGTGGTAGGTGCATTTCTTCAGGTACTGCTTGGTAACGGTCTCC